ATAATATATATATATATATATATATATATATATATATTTCCCCATATCATACTACCAGTGTTTTTTCTTACCAGTATGCACACTGCCCAATGCTGCTCAACTTTAATTACCTGTTTTTTAAGGTGAATAAACATTTGTTATAATTGGATATGCCTGCACATACTATGAAATTATATAACTGATCACAGTATATTTTATTTTTGTCTCTGCAAAAAGACATAATGTTTTTCTATTGTTTCTTCTTATTTCTTTCTTCTTCCAAACACTTTTCAATCAACCGCCATTCCTTCATTTCTTGATGGACTGACTGGAAACTTGGTAGAGTTATACTTTGGTCCAATATGCCCAGATACTTTTTTTTCATTTTTTGCTTTAGTCCTTTTTTATGAAGTTTATGGAGTCAAAGGTCAAACAACCCAAAAATTTATATGTTGGGCTCCTGTGAGGTCATACTTACAGTAATCAAAATGAAAATTGGCACAAATTTTCATGTGCTCAACACACTGACGTACAAAATAGTTGGATTTTCTTATTTTGAGTTTTTTTTTGGGGGGGTAGAGATCACAAAAAAGCATAATATTAGGGTTTTTAGTCCATTCTTTGGCCATATTTCGACCAATTTACATGTGATTTAGTACTCTTTGCAGATCTCAAACAGAGATATATACAATTTAGGAATTTTTGTCTTTTCTCAATTTTTCAGTGAGGAAAGCACAATTCATATATATGTCAACCAACTTACAGATACATTCTTGCAGGCCCCAAGCAGTGATATAGACAGTTTACAATTCTTTTGGTGTCCAAATTGGTCATTTTGGGATTGCATGATGGAGACATGTTGCATTTGGCCGTGAATGTTAACCTTTTAATTTACTGTTTTGTTTCTCTCCTAGAACCAAAGAGGTTTATTACATTAAAAACATAAAAAAGAAGGATGCTTCTTAGATTCTAAGCTTATTTTTTTGGTATTTTCTTCAGACAAGTACAAGTACTTTTTGTATTAAATTGAAATATTAATCCTTTAAATGTCAAGTCTTTCTTTGAGTGAACATGGTACTTGTTACTTGGAATAAAGTCTATTTGTGTGAACATAACTTGTTGTCTTTTAAATTTTTAAAAGTTGGAAACGTTAGTGATTTAGATTTAGCAATATCAAAATTGACAGCATAACATTTATGTAATAATGCAAATCAGAATTTTTA